TTTATTTCCTTAATGCAAAAGATTTGTTTTAGATCAAAAGTTAGCTTGAGATTGTCATTTAGACTTTTTAACTTGACTTTCTTATATAGATTTTAAAATAACAAGGCAAGTTTTGTATTTGTTACTTATGATGATCATCATTTTACTCAAACAGGAACTGCTTGACGAAATTCTTAAGATATTATTTGCTGGCTGTAAATATTTTACTATTACTAAAATTGTAATTAGATTTCATATTCACTATTTGCTATTAATATAATATAGAAACCACAAAACAATCTAGTTTCTCGACTTGGCTAATAGAGAATCCATTGTTCTTTAGCATTGCCGCTCGAGTCTCTCGGTACTTTTTTCTAGTTCTTGCAGCAAATGTGGCATTGAATTTCATATTGCTCTTGCCCCAGCGATAGCCCCAGTGCTCCTCTGTCCTTCGTACAGCAAGTCCAATGTTTGGGGCCAAGGCGCATTCACAGCCACCCCTGGAACCCCTTCTTACTCCACCTTCTTCCATCTCCATGGCTGGGATGCTCTTGTGGTCGATGGCTATGTAATGGATGTTATGTTCTTGGCGGCGATCGCATGACAGGCGCATGTTGCAGCCGCTGGCATCCGCACCATTATGGCCAAGAGTCGCGAGTCGCTGGCGAGTTGCAACCCACCGTGGCCCAATGCATCGCGCATTCCCCAAAAAGCGTGTAATCAATAAACAACAAGAGCCATCGCCAGCGAGGCACTGGCTGGTCGTCTCGCTTGCTCGGGATCAGTGGATGAGATGGGATTCGATGGGATTCGATGGGATCCGATGGGATTCGATGGGTTTCGATGGGATGCGATGGGATGGCCTGGACCTGTGGCACCTTGCGTCTGTCTCCCCGGCTGTAACCTTTGGGAATGCCGTGGCGATTGCGCTCGATTGTATCTGATTCGCTCTCATCTTCGTTCGTTTTCCTTTCCGCTTTTTTTTCGGTCTCAGTCCCGGGATAATGATCCATTGTTTGCATCCTGAACTTGTTTAAAGAAGCGCTCAGTCCACACACTCTTACACACGATCTCCATCTGCACTCCACTCCATCTTGTTTGCCGTCTGCCTGCCTCATCACCGTCAATGCTCCCGTCCATTTCTTGGCTTGGAATATTTGGCCAATGGTATTTACAGCAGCTCACTTAATTTAAGGTATTTCTAAGCAAATTATAATAAATCCGCAGTAAGTTATTAGAGTGGGGTCTTAAAGGTGATTATAATAAGAGAATAGCAATAACAACCAATAATAAATTTTACAAAGAAGCAATTAAAAATCTTTGTGCAATCCAATCATTGCCTTTTTCAGGTCCTCTTCTTCTGAATTATATATGATAATGTTCCAAGATCCTTTGAAGTGACATACTCCAATGTCCATCAAATTAAATCAAGCTCAAGCACAATTTGCATACAAATTTTCAGATCTCAGGCCTTGGGTTTTTGGGATTTGCGCACCTTCTGTGAAATGATCTTTCAGGGAATACCGAAATGTGTTAAGATATGCAGGTAGATGTCATCACGAACTGAACCGAAACAATTTTGCATTTGGGGGCCAATAATTTCAAGAATTGATACAAACTAAATAAATCACTCACAAGGACAACACCCCCGGTCCCGAGCCTCCGGGAGGGAGGAATTCGCCACGGATTCGAGGATCGTGCAGGGCTTGTTGCCTGTCAGGATGGAGCAGCATTTCGGGATTTGACTTGGCTGGAGGTGGAGGAGGAGATGGGGCAGAGAATACATACGTAGAGTCCGTCCTAAATGACCCATTGTGTTCTGCTGGCTCCTAAACAATTGTTCTGCCTTGACGACTGATATCGGTCCGAGGATGCTGTCGCCTGGTCTGGTTTTCGGTTTTGGGAAGAAACAATCGATCGTTGGATCTGAAGGCGATCCTGTCGCTGCGACAAATATCACGCATGAATATTTAAAAGTTTCCCTTTTCCGCATAAAACACAAAGGTGGGTTCTCGTTCTCGTTGAAATTTATGGCCGTCAGTGGGCCTCGATTTTGTGGAATATCATGTTGTTGTTGGCCATAAAAAACGAAGCCAAAAAATCGGATTTCGACAATTCCAAGCAAATCAGTTATGAAGGGTCCTCAGGGCAATGTAGCGTACACATTATCCGAGGGCATTTTGCTTGGGAGCTTGGCACGTTCGCCCTGATTTATTGCAGATGACAATCCTGCCCAGCTGATAAGGACGAGACTCGCTTAGCGATCGCAATCGAAATAGTAAATCTCTGTGCCTTATCGGCGGCAAAGTCATTAATCGATTATCTTGCAATCGCTCAAATTGTTTTATTATTAAAAGCTCGGCGAACAGGTGAATATAGAGCAATAAAGCTATATACCGATAGGGATAAGCCAGCTCTGTGTCATGCCAAACTCTTCCTTCTGATAGCGACAAGAACGACAATGGTGATGATGATGATTGTGTTGGCGGAATTTATGACACAGACATGAGTCTTGCATTGTAAATCAGTCATTAGCTATCAATTCCCGTGATTGATTTATACTTTGTTTTTGATCGCTATTGATCATTTTTTCTCGAACCATTTTGTTCGATTAGATTAGCAATATTTATAGAACATTTGTAAGACAAACTGTACACTGACCTGGGCTATCAGTTAGATCAGGTTTACTTTTACTTCCCCAGCAAAGATATCTATACAAAACATTGATGATTATTGAAATACTGGGAAACTCTTTAAAACCCTCTTATAATGCATTATCATATAGGAAGGAGATTGGCTTTTTTACTTCTATTGTTTTAGCATAGTTCGTAAATTTGTAATCCGCATACTTTTGAAATAAATATTTCCATTGCTCAAATCTTTGTAGTAATTGTGTATTCATTGTTTTACTCAATGTCTCTTACACTAGTCAACAGTTTTAATGCTTAAGTATAACTAATTCACTACTTTTGTCCTGATCAAAATCTACCTTATAGGGTCACTACTGTTTCACTGCACATTTTCTATATTAATCATGTGACAAGTATGAAAACACATTTATATTTCAAAAATCTTATTCTCTTGGATGTGTTGCAGATCTGCAAAATATGCAGTTCTAAAATAGATGCTGGCTATACTTCATATACTCAATGTAAATCATAAAATAAAGCTAATGCTTTTATGTTCTACGTTTTTACGTTTTTAACTACTACTAGTACTTGCGTTTCATAACCATTAATGTATGTAAAACCTTATAAAGCTGTATATCTTGAACTTGTCACATTTATATATTTCTATTTACATTTAGCAAGTTGTGGTTTGTTTAAACTCTTCAACTCTCTTATAGTCGATTTGATTTTTTAAACCTAATTCGAGACTCAACAATTTACAACATATGCACAAATGTAACATACATATATGACAGATAACATACAGATCATTAATATAGCAGGTTTGGGCATCTGTATGGGAACCATTTTCTCATTCATTCATTCAATAACACCGTATTTCTGTAAAATTTTAAACTGGGCTAGTGTTTTTTTTTTATATTTTTTGATCCTTCCAATTGCTTTCTGGCTGTGTTTAAACTTAATTCCCTCTGAACCAAATTCAGGCCAAAAATGCATATTACACTTATTTGCTAAAACGAAAATAAAGATAAATTTCATGATTTTATCTTCGCACTATATCAATACGCTTACTCTACTTACTTGCTTCAAAAAAAAATAAAATATTTTCCTACAATTTGTTTTGATCAGCTTTAATAGCCGAGTCGATCTAGCCTCATTCATGCTATAGGTTTAGTCAAAAGACAATTCCTATTAAGAAAACTTGAGAAAGTTGTTACCATCTTATTTACTTGTATCTATTTATATGAAATATAACTAGTTAAATTCTCAACTATCCTAATTTCGATTATGAAGAAAGTTTGATATCTTTACCTCTTTTATAAATTCTATCTAACGCCACATCAAACGTTGTTCTTTATAAAGTCAACGATCAGTTTGACTGGACGAATCGTTGCAACTTAATCTGCATCGATGTTGCCCAGATGTGCTCCACTCCCATCCCATCCCATCCCGCGGATCGATGTAGATCGCGGTGTGATCCATATGGCCAGCGAGTAGTCGCAAACCATAATTTATATTTCCATGCGCATGCGCCTGTCATCGGAGCGCGGAGGCAATATCTAAACAGTGACTCTGTTTAATGGCTGCTGCCTTGACGACGTGGATCGGGGGCACAGCGATCCGGCGGCGGGTTAATTTAAATACAAACAACTGGCTATAGACCTGCGCCGGGTCTGGGTCTGGGTCCGGGTCCGGACCCGGAGCGATGGCGCTAAATCAAACGATGAACACGAAATTGCCATAATGACGGCACTAAGGTGCCCTGCGACGCGCTCGATCCTTTCGACAGACTGAAATTATATTGGTAAATGGCTGAGCACTTGTTGAGGCCTCTCGAGCTACTTGTGAAAATTGCTACATTGAAAATTATTGCACATGTTTTCCAGCGGCGAATCCATGGCAGCACAGAAGCCGAAAACGTTCATCAAAAGTGCAAATTTGTGGCAGCTCCTTGGCAGGTTTTTGGGAGTTTTTTGCCACAGTGTCTCCACATGCATACATGCTGCCACATGTGGCATTCGATGATTGAACAAATGTTGCTTGAGTCACGACTCTAAAGAAGCCTGGGGGAAGTCTTCTGGTAGCAGCGGGTGAAGAAGGGTTTAGGTATCTTCAGACGCCGACCTTTCCATACCGATGAGTCACATTAAATAGGCTTCAATTGCTGGAATTCGATCGATAAAAAAGATCTCCGACTAAGCCCATTTGCCGTCGGCATTTCATGAGATTGTATTATGTTTCAGGCCAAAACACTCGTAAGTGTTTAGGTACTATATATATAATACAAAAGTATATAAATTGTATTATCTTTGCTTTAAAATTCAATTGCAAGTAAAAAGCCAACACATAATTTAGGCGTTCAAGGCAAAGCTTTTTATTCAGGAACAAAAAATGTTTAAAATTATTGTACTTGTGCTATCCATATTGTGCATTGATGGCGCCTATACATTCCACGATTTGGACTCGCAATGTGCTCCCGAATTCGATGATGAAGCTCTTTACACCATTGAGGGAGTCATCCTAAGACCGTTGAAGGACCTAAGCCCGAAACTACATATGCGGGATATAAGCCTGTCGATCAATAGTGGCCAGTTCAAGGGATTTGTGCGATCGAATGGACTCTTCACAATAAGTGGACTGCCGAATGGAAGCCACGTTCTGGAGGTGCATCATCCGGACATTTACTTCCAGCCCGTAAGGGTGGAGATCACCGGAAAGGGAAAGATCCGCGCTCGCAGTGTGAGCTACAGCCAACCATCGATGCTCCGTCAGTTGCCTTATCCTCTGCGTTTGCAACCACTTTTTCGACGCAACTATTTTTATGTTCGTGAGCAGTGGCACCTAATCGATGTCCTTCTGAGTCCTTTGGTGCTTTCAATGCTCGTGCCGATGCTGTGCATAATCATTCTTCCGATGGTGATCAATGATCCGGAGACCAAGAAGGAGCTGGACAACATCCAGTTTCCGAAAATGAAGGAAATGCCGGACCTTTGCGACATGTTGTCCTCATATCTTTCAGGAACATCTAACCCAGAACAATTGGAAATTACCGAGAAGCCCCGAAAGAAAGCGCAATAAAATATTGTTGAACTTTTTGTTAATTCCATAAAAACGGTATTCTTTTATTTGATCACAATGTTCTCTCTCTTTTCCAATTACATAACTCATTGCCTAGGCATGTGGCAGCCCTGATAAGGACTCCTGTGTGTGTGTTTTCGGGTTAAAGGACTCGTCTTGTACTCTATTCCGCAATCGACCAGCCTGTCAAGCCGAAAGTCTTTCAAGGATTCTCAAGTATTGCATCCTGAAATGGTAAGAAGAAAACGAGGATATTAATATGCCGTCTCAAAAATAGTATAACATGATTATTATTATACAGTTACATAATTATTTCAACAAAAATTAAACGGATTCATTTACTAGTTAAAAACAAGTTACAATTAAGACAATCTCTACATTAAAAAACCATTGAGACCAGAGCAATAGTTACCTTGAAAAAGTAGGCCTTGCTACTCCGCTGAAGAGCCGGGGGAACAGGACGCGGCAGGAATCGTTTTGGGTAACAAGACCCCCCCCCAGTCCACTCGCCGGGCGTCGAATCTGTGATTATTTCATTCTAATCTTTACAGCTTTACAGCACCGATCCTCGCCAATTCTGCGGGTAAAGTCCTCTATGCACTTTTCGGTGTCCTTGTCTGGTTTTAAACAAAATGTCGTCCATGCCTGCCATCACATCACACATTTCACGGACAAGAGGCATGGCCAATGTGGCCATAGTAATGGCTTCTTCCGTGTGACCCAAGGCCAAACCCAAAACACACCCTGAACCCTGGACACTGATGGTGGGCTTCGGCGGATTCAATGGGGCGGAGGCGAGGCGGCGGCGTTGGCAAACCAAAAATGTTGAAAATGTGTTTTTCTCGAAACAACGAAAACAAGGCAAACGATTCGATTCGATTTCGCTTTTCGTCTCGTCTTTTGCGGACTTTTAGGCGGTCTTCTCCTTCTTCACGCAGAATTGTCGCAGGGCCGCCAGTGAGTTTCCGCCGCTGCCGCTGAGATTTTCCGGAGACTCGGATCCACCTGCAGCAGCAGCAGCTGCCGCAGCAACCAGCTTCGCTCTGGTGTTGCCACCGCCTCCTGCGCCACCACTGCTGCCCAGGGAGTCGAACATGGAGGATAGGGCGTTCAGGGAGTCACTGGGATACTTCTTGGTGTTGCCCTCGGAGCTGCCGTCGTAGGACTTGTGACTGGAGGCGGGTGACTTGGGTGTAACGGATCGCTGGCTCTCGGCCGGACTCCTGGGTGGCAGCAGCAACCTGGCCTGAGGACTGGCTGCCGATGACGAGGAGGGTGTCTTTGGTGAGCTCCTTTCCACGTTGTTGTTGTTATTGTTGATGGCAGCGGTGCCATTCACCAAAGTGGTCTCCATTTTGGAAGGCTCGTCAGCCTCAATCGGCTGCTCGTCCCCTTCCACCTCAGACTTGATCTCCATTTTGATGGACTCGGCGGGCTCTGTGTGCTCCCTCTCTTGCTTGATCACAGGTTTGGAGGACTCCTCCTCCAACCCCGCCGGATGCTGCTTCTCGGGAGTGGGAGGAGCGTCCAGTCGCGGCCGGGCCTCTGCACTGCACTCACTGCCGCTCCGCTCGCTGCTGGTGTACCTGTAGTGCTGGTAATACGGATCATTGGTGTCAATCAGGGGCTTGTTGTAGTCCACAGTCTCATCGATTCCCAGGCGCTTCAATATGCTGGAGGCCACTGGCGATGTGTTTTTGGTGGATGAGTTGGATGGACTACTCGCTGGCAGGCTGGCGTGTCTGGGCGGTGTGTCGAAGCTGGTGGTGAACATCTGCTCGATGGCACTTAGCACGGAGGATGCCCCAGGAGCGGCCTTGGCCCCACCATTCTTCTGTTCCACCAACTCGGGGGACTTGTTTTTGGCGAGGAGTTGAGCTGCCGCCACTTTGGCCATTTCTTCGGGGGATTTCACACCCGTGATGTACTGCCTCATGCGCTCGGCAAAGAGAGCAGCATCGTTCTTATCACCGCCACCGGGTCCCAGGCCGGGCTTTCCTTGCACTGCGGACTTTTCGGCAGCCAGATCCTCCTGGTTCGAGGCTCCACCCTTCATTTCGAGGAGTTTCCTCACCGGCAGCGATTTCTCGCGCTTCTTGGGCGCCGGTCGCTTGCGAGCTCCAGCGGACTGCAACAGGGGTTCAGCATAGTGATTGTTTTTGGCCATGTGGTTGCTCAGATCCCCCAGGGAGCTGAATGCCTTGTCACACACCTTGCAGGTGAGCACAGCACTCAGAGTCCGACTCTCCTCCGAACTGAGGCTGTTCTGGCTCTCCTTGGCATCCGAATTGGAATTGGAATTGGCCGACTTGATGGAGATGCTCTGTTCCTGGGAGAGAATATTCGTGTAGTGCTGCGTCTCCTGCATATGCTTGGTCATTTCTCCGAGGGAACGGAAGCTCTCGCCGCACCGCATGCACTTGAGGATCTGCATGGCCTGCTCCACACCCTTGCCCAGCCAAACGTTCTGGCCGCGAACCAATTTCCTGGGCAGCGGCGTGGGTGGGTCTCCTCGATACTGGAAGGCATTCTTAACGTTCGCAGATGGTGAGTGGTTCGAGCCGCTGCCGGAGCCACCCTGCTTCCTCAGATTGTGGTTCTGCGGTGGCGGCGGAGGAGCTGGATGCTGGTGGTGCTGATGGTGCTGCTGCTGGGGATTGTTACTCGGCAGATTGCCGAAGGGCGGCACATTGACCCCACAGTGCTTGCTGTCCTTCATGTGGGTGGTGAGGGCCTCCAGGGTGGGGAAGCTCTGCTTGCACCACACACACCGGAACACGGAGCTGGCCACTCCCTTGTTCTGCCAGTGCGACTGCCAAATGTTGTGCCTGGCCTTGGTCACGCCCCCGCTGCCACTTCCAGCCCCTCCTGACTCGGAATTCTGATGGCTGGATGCCGACTGAACGGGACTCTTTGGCGGTGGTGCTGCTGCTGCTTGTGGTGGCGTGGCCTTGGACGACGAGTGCATCTTCTCCTTGCTGCTCAGGCCACCCGCTCCTCCTCCTCCTCCTGCTCCTCCCTTCACAATGTCGGACATCTTCTCCAGGGGATCCACAACCAGATCACTCTTGCCATTCCAGTCTGGGAATTGACCCGCCCGGAATATATTGGCCGCTGCCACGGCCGCCAAATATGGATTTACTCCTGGCAGCAACTGGCTGGCTGTGGGCGTGGCAGGCCCCGGATTCGCGGGCGGACTATCCGACTTGAACATCTTTTTCACCTGGATGTGACCCAGTAACTGTGGCTCCGAGTCGTGGCCACGCTTCCGGGTGCCCACAGAGAGATCGAGGGGATTGTTGGCGCCATCATCGAAGTCCTCTTCCTCGCCCTCGGAAGCCGGTGGCTCTGCCGATTCCGCCCGTCCATATAGATTGGTGCGAAAGTCCAGAGCTTCCGAGTGGTTGCTCGATGATGCTGTCGGCGAGGCTTGCGGAGGCAGTTTAAATGGAGCAGACGCCTCATTGGGCAGTGGCAGAGGTAGGCGTGGCCCCGCCCCCGCCGCTGCGGCTGCCGCCAGCGGGAATCCATATTGCTGGGCAGCCGCCGCCACCATGTGCAGGTACGCCTCCATCGAGGGCGGCTGGGCGGGAAGAGATTGCGGCACAGCCGGGAATGTTGGATGAAGGGAGGGCCCGGGCATCATGCCGGCGGACATGGCTGCGGCATCCATGCGCTGACCCACCGCACTGCCGCTGCCAGGGCCACCACCACCACCGCCACCGCCACCACCATTGTCCGACGAGTTGGAATCGTGCGATGGACACCGTTCGCTGGAATTTGCCGACTCCGTGGAGCGGGGACGAGCTGTGGGCAGAGCGCTGTAAATAAAGGAATTCAGAAGTTAATTATTGAAATAAACAATTGTTAAATGGGATTGAGGTATAATGACTCGTTCTAGGGTGTAATAGACTATCACTTTTTAGGAATTTCTCTATACAAGATAACGTTTCATATCACTTTCGATTAGTAATAGGATTAGTACGTCAATGCATTTGACCTCTATTTTAATTCAGACAAAAGATAAAGCCCATCATTAAGACCTAATCAGCAATACATTAATCCGAAATAGCTCAATAAAGCCAAGAGTGGCAAGCGCAAAATAAAGCTTTCTCTCTCCCTTTTTGCCACCAGATAGTGACTTTCACAAGCCGATCTTCTTTCTACCTTTCAACCCTATAGAGCAAACCGGTAGACAAGCAATGAGGAGCATTCGAAATCCATATACACTTCGATTCGATGTGCTAAATCATTCGGGAGTCCAACAACAATGGCAAACATATGTCAACATTTCGATTTGTTATTCAAATCTCAGAGCGCCATAAACCAAAACGGAATATGTACCAGAAATTAAACTCTCTGTCGCGGCCAGCTGTGTCCTCCCCCCTGACGAGGGTCGTAAAAGTCAATATGGAACAATGGCGTTTAATTCGAGATCGGGGCGTGAGTTATGAGCAAAGCCGATCATAATCAGCATCTTCGAGATGAAATCCAAAAGATCTGACTAAATCGGCGGCGGCGGCAATTATCATTCAGCCACACACACACATTCCGCATAGTTTGCATAAATTAATTGGCCAGATCATAAATGTACATAAATAGAAATAAATAAAACCCATTTTATTGCCACTCAAAAGGCAGAGAAATAATAAGGAAAATGATTTGCCGAATTTTATTGTATTTCCTTGATTCCGACTATTTTTCGACTGTGTAGTAACGTTCAAATTGAAACCATATATAACATTTTATAACCTCCTATTGTTTGCTTTGAAAATATTTCACAGAAACATAATTCGCCGGATTTCGTTTAGCTTGTTTTGAATGATTGTCTGATTGACTTATATATGTACACATATCGATGTAGATATATGCTATACTTTTTGATGATTGCTCGTGGGCGTTGTGGGGCTGCTTTTGCTTTTGAAAGAGGAAACAGCTGAGGTTGGTCAATAACAAAGAGTTAATGTGCCTCGATTTCGATTTCAATGGGACTAATATCGCGTTAAATCGGCATGTTTGCCCAGAGATTCGGCTGTCCGTAATTTGTCATGTGCCATTGTGTGACGACCGATCGCTCAGCGGAATAAAACAAACTCCTTAACACCGGCATTAAGTTGTTCGGAATCGGCGGAGGTTTGTCATCGGTCGAGTTCTTTAATTGATGGATAGTACACACTATATACATAGATCGGGTGGGCCTAAGTCCGAAATTGATGCGGTCTTAGGGACCGTCAAGGAAATCTGATTCATGTGCAGTGTGGCTTAATGCTGGGAAGGTGCTTCCAACTCAGTCAGTCACCTGCCAGGTGACAGCTTATCAAAGATAGTTATTAGTAATATAACTTATTACACACTCGCCCCGATCGCTCACCGCTAATTAGCTATCCAGATTGCACGCGACGATTAAGCCCGCATACAAAGCATTTTTTGTGGCGGCTTCATTCCTCTTTCCATCAACATTCCCGACAACTAGTTTTTCCCCCTCACCCCCTTCTGGAAGCATATCATAATCTGCAATCTCGTTATTCGATTAAGCTTAAATCAAAATGATTTATATGTATACGCAGCTCCGCCAAGTGCAGTTAATTACGAGTCTCATTAATAATTGAGAGAGTTACAGGTTGATATGCATCTGCATATACGGTGTCAGTGGAAGCAGTGTTTCAAGTACAGTGTGTTCTGGCATTAAACGTACAATATTTTAGATACATTTGGGGTCAATTTTAGAGCAAGTCAAAACAACAAAATTTCAAATAACTAAGTTTTTAGACCTGTAGGACAAGCTTATGTCTCATTAGTTCGAATTTTATATTTATAGTTCATACATTTAAAGAAATTAATACATTTTAAAACAATGTAGCACAAAGCTATTTGTGTTTATTGTTTTAAATATTTAAAACAGTTTAGTATTCAAGTTGCGTTAGATATAACATTAATCATTTAAATCATGGAAGTACAATTAGTATTTCTACAAAGTTATGTTTAAAAAGGATTTTATTCCACTGTTTTTCCATGTGTTAAGCACTATAACATTTACTATTGAGTTAAAATTGATTATCAACTTGTATTTAAAGTATTTAAAACACTTACAGAGAGCATTGATAGGTATTTGTATTAAAATATATTCATATTTTTTAAACGGTTATTCTTGTTTATTGGACAGTCTGAAGGACTTAACCATCAATTTTCAAATCGAATCATGTTAATTTATTTAAGTTAGACTGGGATAAACAATTGTTTACATATAAATAAAAAAAATTGATCTATTTAAATACAAGCAATATTCCTTTTGTATTTTGTTTATAATGTTTTTAAGACATTTGACAATTCTTAATTCTTTAAAGACATTACTAACACAACGCACTGTACTTGGTAAACAAAAACTAAGGCATTACTAATCCGTTAAGGTAACAAAGTAACACACACTAGTAGGATCTCGAGACACGGACACAAGCACACAAATCAGCGGCAAATTGTGAACATAAATCTTTACCGTAATAGGAACACACACACTTGTACACACACACATACACTCTGACTAAGACAGAGAGAGTGAGAGAGAGGTAGTGGGAAAAAAGATGGCAAACAGAGCGAAGCGCATTTTGAGTTTTTCACTTTTCATTTGATTTATTCAATTCGGTTGCCTACCTCGTCGCCTTGGAAAAATCTTGGGAAATCGTTCGATATAAACATACATACTACATACATATATGAATGTATTTATGCAAAGCTATCTTTGACAATTTGTCGCACTTCATAAGTTAAGTCCCCCAATTACACCCCTTCAGTTCACCATCGAAAAACCAGTTCTAAACTTGCAACTTACTTATATTTGCTCGCATTTGGTGCGAACTCAAAAATGTATCTCAAACTTGTTTAGGCACGCACAGATACAGAAACGCTTAGACACAAATTAATAACCCAAAGATAGATCATCACAGCTCTGCCAAATTTTCCGAACGCATTAACCCCTTCCACAAATCGCAAATTAAGCTTTTCGCTTGCACTTTACAATTTGATAAAGACTCTTGTTCCATCGATCGATCGGGGGTTCTGGTTTTCCCAATGTGCGCCTTTACAGTAAATCAATACTTTTCGGTTTCCACACGGGGAACTGTTGCGCTCTCATTCCGATTCCGAGGGGTGGGTGTTGTGATATATGGGCCTCCATTGGCGTGGGGCTGAATTTATAACGACAGGTGTGCTGCGCCGACGTCGAGGACGCTGGTGCCAATCATCAGCGGTTCTCCCAGCTCTCCGCTGGCTATGAAATCATAATTTCTTGATATATTTATTTGGCCGATTTGGCCGAGAGTCTAAAGTAATATTTTAATGGCCCATTCAACCATTTCGGCTATCAGCTCCACGGAGTGACACAACGGAAAACCGAAAAGATCTGATAAAAATCGTCAAATATGTGTGTGCTCTGGTTCTATTTGTGGATGATGAATGGGTGTCGAGTGTATGATTTTTAAATATATTTAATGTCTATGTTTTATAACTAAGAACTATCTGTTGACTCACGAAATTCAAGTTTGATTCAAGATTAAATACATTTGCAAAAAAGTTTTTACCTAAAATTCACTTAATAAACGAATATTGTGCTTTATATATAATATTAAAGAAATATCTTGCTCTCTCAAATAAGTTTCATATCATATAAACATCATTTATAACTAAATATAAATAGGTTTTCAAACAACACAAATATGAGATAAAGGTTTCATTTGCTTTATCTTATAAAACAAATTGCACATCTCGATCTGGTTTATAACTCTGGCTTATTCCCTCACCTATAAATTTCCATTTTTTAATTAACCACATTTAAAGATAATCACTTTTCAAAAAGAACTCATAGTTTCACCTATAGAATATTGACATTTCTATAAAGATAATGACACTTACCCGGCATTTAGCGCCTGTCTGTAGATCTCGAGCATCAGAGCCTCGTGCAACATATTTAAATTTTGCTGAATTTTGACGAGTTTTCGTAACTTAGATGAGTTTTGTATTGGATTTTTGTTTTTTTTTATTTGTAGCAAACTATCCCTAAAGTTTGCTGGTGGCGTTATAAATTGAAGTACTAAACTTAATTTTAATTTGACACAATATTCATAAATTTGGTTTTTGTTATTTTGAATTTATTTTGTTTTGCACTTGGTACGTTATCGTATAGAATTTGTTGTTGTAGCGTATAACTTTGTTTAATTTTGTGTTTTTATTTTAATTACATATACATATATATTCTTTTTTCTCGTATGGCAGACAAAAATGTAGTTTTAAATATTTGTTTTGTTTCGAGGCGTTTTGTATTTTGTAAGTTTAAATTTAATTTAATAATTGCATTGAATCGTATACTTCGTTTAGGTTTTGTTGATTTGTTTAAGTAACTGGTTTTTACATCATTTATGTGAGTGTAGGTTGATGTGGTGAGCAAAATACCGTTTAAATATACATAAATATTTGTTTCAGTTTCTTTTTAGTTTTAATTATTTATTTTAATTCAATAAATATATATTTTTTTGTGGTATATTATTATAATTTGTGGTTGTTTTACGTATACTTTGTTGAACCATTTGTGTTTGGGTTAGATTACTTCTTTAATCGCGTGGTTATTCAGTCTTGATCAAACATATTCGTTCGAAAGTTCTTGTTTTCCAATTTTGACTAGATATGGCGGCTGCTGCTCCTCGAAAATTACTTCGGACTCCTTGACTTTCCTCCGTCTATTCTTTTTATTCCTATCACACTTGGTATTTGTTGTTATTTTTTACGGAACACGCGAATCGCTCTCCCACTTCGCTCGCGCTGTGTGCCTGTGTTGGTTTCATCCGGATTCCGTCGTTACACGTTTGAGAGTCGAAAGGCGAATGAGCGTCGAAAAGCGAATGAGTTCTGTCGGCTGGATTCTTTCGTCACTAACCCCTGGCTCTTCTTCTTTGCGGCGTTCCTCTGCCGCTGCGCTGCCCGCTGCCCGCTGCCGCTGTCAAACTGACAGACAACAACAGCAACAGCAACAACAACGCTGCGCTGCCGCTCTGCCGCAGCCGCTGATTGATACCAAAAAAATGAAGTAGAAGAGGGAAGAAGACGTGACGGTGACGATGCTGATGCTGATGGCGGCGGGTGGAGGCGGACGGTGCGGCGGAGTAGGTAACGAAGGGAAGTCAAAGCAGAGACGCGCGATTGGGAAGCTGCGCTGCTCTTTTGACGAGCGAACACGAAGCTCGCGTTTTTGGCGACGGCAATTTCTGATTCGATTTTGCGTTTAAGCGACGGCTGCGCACTTTCCCACCCACACACGGGCACACTCACTCACTCACACACACAGGCACGGACACGGACAGCTGGCTGTCACCGTGATTAAATGTGCTGCTGTCTCGCTCGCACACGCTGGCAGCGCTGCACTCGGCTAATTAATTACCGTGTTTTCCTAAACGCCGCTGAGCTTTTCTCGCATGATCGTACGCTGTAACGGTTTCTTGTAAACTGAAGAGAAAAGCCAGCAGCAGAGCAGTAAAAGCTTGGAACATGAACAGAGAGGGCGAGAGCCAGAGACAGAGAGAGAGAGAGCGCGATACCAGCAAGAGCGAGCCTGCGCCGTGGCGATCATTTCCCCTGCGCGCCAATTGGAATTGTTTACAAGTGAACGCATGGGAACGGAACAGGGGAAATTTAGTGAGCGAAACGAAATGAAATAAAAGAGGGCGGCGAATAGTGCTATCGCGCTCGCACCGAAAATGTGTGAAATCTGTTTTGTCGTTCTTCGTCACCCTTTTTTTGATTCTTGTTTCGTTCGTTTTATACCGATTCCGATTCCATCACTCCGATTAAGATTTATGACAGTTCATGGCATGCGCTGTCCTGCTCCCACACAGTGTATGTTTGCGAATACATTTGTATGGTATGTACTATATACATACGAATGTACATACATATGTATATGTATGCAAATTGTTGCCTTTCTTTCTTGCACTGTTTTTTTTCGTGGTAAATAAATAGAAATTTTAGCTCGTCACTTTGAGCAGAGCAGCTCTGCCCTCTCGCTCTCTCGTCCTTCTGTCTTTCTGTCAGCCCCCTTTGACTGCTGCGCTGTCACCTATTGTCCGCTTCTCTGCAGTTTCTTCTCCGTGGATTCGCTCCACTGGACATGTCAGTCTCTCTGTTTTCCTTTTTGTCGTCTTTTGTTTCGTTGCATTGCCATGCGAAAGAGCGTGAGGGAGAGTGAGCGAGAGAGGTAGGGTTGTCGTGAAAGAGATGGGAGATGGGGTTGATTCCTTTTTTCGCCTGGAACCACTTTTCAGTTTTTTTGCTTTTAGCTTTTGGCTGCGAAAACAATTAAATTAGCGACACTTCTGCTGCTAACTGAAAGTCCCTCTCGGTTGTCACACTTTTATGACCTGAAGTCCTGTCTTCGCATTCCGAAGAATTCGCTTTATTTGAAGTTTAATAAATGTTTGATCTAAACTTAAAAGTGCTCAGGAAAATATGTAAGGCTTTCATTTTGATGGTTTATTTATATAGGTAATATGTACTCATACATAGAGTAATTTAATGGAACTTGCGCGCTGCATTTTCTAATAATTTGATTAAATCGGAAAATAAGTATTTAATTCATAAAAAATTATAGTTATTTAGTATATTTATTATGCAACACTTGTGTTGGTAGCACCAATTGGTGAAGCGCAACAAGTTCCCAGCAACATTCCCTGTCACTTACGAGTGGTGCAGAATGTTCCTAGCAACATTTTGTCATTCATCAGCCTTTAGCTCTGTTTAATTAAAGTTTCTTATAAATTCAAGCATAAGTCCATAAACTGAATTAGCTAAGTTCATTTGGGTAAAGGGTAGCTGTAGCTTTAACACATGTTTTATATATATTTAGAAATGTGGGTTGTTTGGGGTTAAAATATTACCAGTAATGCCTCCTTTAATCTTTAACTCCAATGATTCCTTTTTAATAGGTACCGAATGTTGAGGTTTAAATTGGCGAATGGCTTAGAATCCATTTCAAATTGTTCAATTATTATATTATTCAAATTTTGAAATTAAAAACCAATATGTACACATAATAAGCTAATAGGGCTACATGCTTTCTTCAGTCTCAATTTATTTTCAACCTTTGCAATATACATAGAGATGTACAAATGTACATAGATATGTGTATGTAAATTATTTGGGAATTGAATTAATTTAAATTCAATTATCGTGTGTAGGAATCATAGGGATTCTTATTTCTTCGGACTTTCTATCCTAAATACTGGCTTCTATAAAGTTTTCCATTAATATTTTGTGTGCAATTTCTGTGTTGCCATTAAAAGTATTCAACAATTGACGATGGCGCAGATAATTATTGGTATTTATTTTTAGGTTAAGCTGTATTTCTTGGCCAACGTCTTATCCAGCTTAATTTAAAATCATTTGCCAATAATTTATTTATGTTTTTCCTGCGATTCGATAATTATGTATTCAACATGTATTAATCACTCTATAATATATATATATATATAAATAGTTTAAACGTTAATTTATACGTTTAAATATAGATTTTTTAAATTTTAAAAATTATGAAAGAGTTATATATTTACATTCATTAAAAATATATATATTAAAAACAAAAACAAGAAAGGAAGCTAACTTCGGCACGCCGAAGTTTATATACCCTTGCAGATATAACATCTATGACTTGGAATCTCAACAATATAAATTATATTTATTTGTGTTAAAAAACAATGAAGTTATACCTGCTTTCATTTCATTCACCTATATACATATTATATTTGCAGTTTTACATTCGCAGATTTGCATTTTTCCTCTACATCTAACGATCGTTTGTATGGCACCTATATGATATAGTCGTCCGATTTTCATGAAATTTGACACAAAATTTAAGACTAATATAAAATGGCTATACCTCAAATTTGATGAAAATCAGCTGAAAACTAAAAAAGTTATAAATTTAATTGTATTAATTTCTCGATCGTTCCTATGGGAGCTATATTATATAGTAGTCCGATTTTCATAAAATTTTATGCAAAATTGTAGAGTATAGGAAAATGGCTATATCTCAAATTTGATCCAATTCTATTGAAAACTGAAAAAGTTAAAAAATTTTTTGTAAAAATTTTCCGATCATTCTTATGGCAGCTATATGATATAGTCGTCCGATCCAGCCCGTTCCGACATATATACGAGTGAGAGTATATAGAAGGCTAACTACAAAGTTTCGTTCAGATAGCTTCAAAACTGAGAGACTAGTTTGCGTAGAAACGGACAGACGGACAGACGGACAGACGGACAGACGGACAGAAGGACAGAAGGACAGACGGACAGACGGACAGACGGACAGACGGACAGACGGACATGGCTAGATCGACTCGGCTGTTGATCCTGATCAAGAATATATATACTTTATATAGTCGGAGGTGCCTCCTTCACTGCGTTGCAAACTTCTGACTGAAATTATAATACCCTGCAAGGGTATAAATATGAGATGTAAGCAAACTTTCTAGAAAATTACTCATACGACACGTTGGCACGTCTCATTATTTTCAAGAATTTTATCAACATCAAAATACATGTTTTGTTGAATAATATTTTTTATTTTACGTATGACTTATAATATAAATTTATACAATAAAACATAATATAGTATTGTTGAAATTAACACTTATTTGTAACCTTAAACCTTATTATCTTCATCCCCAAATGTGAGATTTTATGATATATGAATGTACATATGTACTTATTTTTAATTAAGTATACACTCGGGTATATTTTTCGATCCAGTCATTAGCATTTCTGCGGTTATGTGGCCATTAGCGTTTCTGAGTGAAAAGCGTACATTATCCGGGCTTTAAGGCCGGCTGGTTGACGAATGCCCGGTGGTGCCATAAAAGTGGCCAATCTCGCTGGATAAAAATGGTGGACAACCCGTTTCTTCGGCCTGTTTACCGCTCATTTTATTGATCACCGGAGAATCCTCCGCTGCACTTGTTGCACCCAAAAACGGGCTCACTTAAAGGCTTGGGGAGCGAATCGTAAAAGTTTTACGATCCACCAATTAACCGATAATAATCAAATCACTTCGAACTTCGAGCCACTCGGTGGGGCCAGCGGGGCAGTGAGATACCAACAACCATGGCTTATTTGCTTCTGGGACCCCGTCATCATCCTCATCATCATCTCGGAATAAGAATCCTCGAAGTCCCTGGGGCAATAAATACTTTTACGATTTTATAATTCGATTTGGGCATTTGTATTTAATATTTCTTCTTGCACTGTGACAGAGAGATCTCATCGGGTCGGGTCCCCTCCACTCCAAAGTATCTTTTGCCGCGCCGCATTAATTTTTTTATGTGAGCGACCATAAAAATTGCTTTGATAAATTGTTATTTGGAATTCAATGCCAAAGGTATCCGCTGGATATAGGCACGCATCTACGAGCATCGTTCTTGAGCGGAAATCGAGAAGAATTTTGCACATTTTA